AGATAACTGAAAATTTTAAAAATGATCAGCTTTCCGTTTAGCATGGTCACGTTGTCGTCACATGGGCGACGCTTTCAAAACTTATTCCTAAAAATTTTTGATTATTTTGAATGAAAAAGAAAATGAAAAGAATTCTATTAGGATCTAAAATTTTTATGTGTATGCTTGTCGAGCATTAATCTCGCTAAAAAAGGGGAAATATTAAAGAAACCAGGTCTAGTATTCACCGTGCGTTTTGGATAAGACTTGTTGTTTATGTCCATCGTCTTTGTCAAATTGAACTGAATTGTATTTTAATGAATATTGTCTTGAAAAGGTTTATTAAACCGAAACGTCAGACGTCGACATTTCATTCATTTTTAACAACATAATTGCATTTAAGGATTCTTGTTTGTTTTTTGTTTGTATTATATATATATATATATATATATATATATATATATACCAAATCAGTCGGTCCCGCCTTGAAGCGATCGGATGTCAACCACACTGATGAGCTGTGATACAGCGAAACAGTCTGTCTGTGGATGACAATATTAGAAAAAATAATTTAATCAGTCGAGTACTGTGGGGAGTAATGAATTTGTAAACAGTCGCTATTACTGCTGATAATGCAAGACTCTCCTAGCATTTGAGTTCTCTGAGTGACTAGTATGTTTATGAAAAAATAAATACGCAAAAATTCTCTCTGCCGGGCTTCGATGCATCAGGCTTAGAATTTCCGACTGATACCAACTAGTTTGCGTTTCGGTCCCAGCCTGAAACGATCGGATTTCTAGCCACACTGATGAGCTGTGAAACAGTCCGTCTGTATATATATATATATATATATATATATATATATATATATTCCTTCAATTTCCCAAACCAATCGAAGAAATTTCAATAAGCTGATTTATTTGGAAAAATTCTTTGGAGGAACATGGCGGAAGAAAAATAAGGATTTGCCACAAATGTACACAGTTAGATGTAAAGTGAAATTTGGCACACTGAAAGATGCCCATGGGACAAAACACAATGGTACTAACATTTAGATGCAGCTAAAAAATAGACTCCGGCAAGACTAAAACCACTGAAGAATCGGCGAGCAAAAGAATCCCAGAAATATTGCATCGAGAGAACTATATATCCAACATGACAATGGCTGTCCGCTCGTATCTGATTATGCCTGTATACTCGAGAGGCAAGCCAATCATTCAGGCACTTTCTCAGACTCATTCCTTTTGTTCAGCACCCACAGAGCCTGTGTTCTGAATTGCAACAATACCGAGCATAGCATCGTTATAGTTTCTTGGATAGAGAAAATTACCTAGCGTAGTTAACAGTTTGTACAAGATTACTACGCACAAAACTTATAACTAGCATCAAAGGCCCCCAAATAGTTCCGTCTACCCAAAGTCACTCACAAGTCTTGGGACGAACCGATAACAGAAAGAAATCATCCTGAAAAAAATATTTCTATGTATGACTAGTGCATTAGCTAAGTTGTTTTTTTGTGAAGTCTCTTTTGTGCTCATAAATGCGTTTTTTCAAACTTTATAAGCACAAAAGAGACCTCCCAAAAACAACTTAGTAATGCACTAGTCAAACATAAAATAAATTCAACTCATAATTTTGATTTTAAAATGCTACACTCATAAAAAAAGAAAATAACTCACTCAGAAGGAAAATTCTGGAGAGTGCCGCCATAGAATATTACCCAAATATTAATCTACGCCCAGGTTTTACCCCATTTCACCTTTCTTAACAAAATTACTGCTCTTACAAACAAATATACACAATAGTTTCATAAAATCAAAAGAAAATTGTTGAATACATCAACACAGATATAATGGCAATATTCTCCACACGTGACAAATACTGACATTATTTTTCAGTTAAAAATATGAAAATAGCGTTTCTCTACATGTTTCGAGTTGCTAGGTACATTCTGTTTTTGTTTTTATTAGTTACTTTGTTCAATTAATTTCATTTTCGTATTTTGCTTTGATAAAGTCCACATTGGACGAAACGCGTCAGCAATTACCAGTTTTCCTATTGTCATTTTTATTCATATGTCATATATTATATATATATATATATATATATATATATATATATATATATATATAATGGTCTCCCGTCGGTTTCGACCTATGAAGATCTGACAGCTCACAAGTGATTTGATTAAAGTGGTGAAGACTTGTGCAGAACCATCCACACTTTTCGGAACTATTGATACACTTAGTCGATGCAAATAAATGCCACAGACGAAGCAAACAATATACCTCATATTATATATATATATATATATATATATATATATATATATATGTGTGTGTGTGTGTGTGTGTGCATGTATATATATAAATGTATATGAATATTTCGCCATTACACACATTAACATTGCTATTTAATTCTTTGTATACATAGTTTCTTTATGATATGAAATATAAGCTTCACACTTTAATATCAGATGCGCAGCAGAAGAATAATCAGAATCTTAAATTCTGTGGGAAACTATTACATTTTACATGACTGATTGGATTATGCTAATTCCGTTTCACGTTAATAGATAAATATATATCACAAGAAAATTTCGTGGATTTAAAGATTTTCAAAATTCAAACAAAATTATCACTTGATCGATTTGAACAAGAACTCTAGCGTCGCGGCATCGCTCGCTCCAAAACATAAATTCAACTGTCAATAAATAGCATAATTTAAAAACAAAATCATATCTTTCGGTTTACACATATTTCGGCTTATGTATGGGAAAATTGCGCCCTGAAGATGACAATTTGAAATTGTCGTAAGTACTTGGAAGTCTTCCATCAGGCAGCAAATCAAATATAAGGATCATATTATTCAAGGAATTGATAGTAAGTTAATATCTCATTAAGCTCTGTTTGCAAAGTGATTTCGCCATTTATCATATTAACATTGCTATATAATTTGTAGAAATTGCTTATGATATAAAATATAAGCTCACGCACTATATATATATATATATATATATATATATATATATATATATATATATATATTTAATTAAAACAATTATGGCACAAGACCAAACAGGAAATATTTGGTCGGCATTTTCTAACCTAGACATAGATAATCTGCTCATTCACCAAAAAAGTCATACCTCACCATTCAATACCACATATATCACAAAAACACAAATTCTCAGGTAACCTAAAAACCCATGACATACGCCATTACATAAATTTTCAATTTGTGTAAGAATTCAGATATCTCTTTTTCCAAATTATATATATATATATATATATATATATATATATATATATATGAGGAATGGGATCATATTAAACATAAGATACAACAATATCCACGTTTAAAACATAAAATGTAAGGCGCCTTTCGACCGACACATTTTCAAACACAATCGTCGGTAATCTAAAACAGAGTACTAACAAGAAAAACTTTTTTTATTAATACCGTAATAAAACAAGATGGTAAAGGGGGAAATTATTTTACCTCAAATCATGTAACCGTTCCCCCAAATAAGGCCAACGTAAACTTCATCTCCCGTTGTACGTAGAGGGCCAAAAAATATTGATAATAAAAAGACTCCAAAATGTCGAGGTGGAATCTGTTCCCTAGCCTGTGCAATACCGAAAAAGAAATGGGAGAATACTCAGTCATGCAAACACCAGAATTTAATAGATGTTAAGCGATAGCAGAGGCATGAGTCTGCAACGCATCCCTGGACATGTTAGGCGATTCTAACCTCAAGCGTCTGGATATATATATATATATATATATATATATATATATATATATATATATATATATATATATAAGGAAGAGCTTTTAGTTGTTCAAATGAGAGAAAAGTGTATATTTTAAATAGAAGAGAGAAACTACAAACTTTTTGGGTTGCGATGTGGATTTTCTAAAATATATATTATGATTATTTTCCATAATTTTGCAACACGTCTTTCGGGTCTCACGCCCTTCTTCAGGATATTTCCACATATTAAAATGAATTAATTTTCCTTATGTTTTTCGATGTTAAACATTCTCTTTTTTGTGTGGTAGTGAGACAAATGTATCTCTTGATTCAAACAGTCACTCTCTCACAGACGCGCCGTCGCCTATCTCTGTCTTTTCTACAAATACTTTCATGGTAATTGCTCCGCTGAGCTGCTTTCACTGGTTCCCAGACTCCATGAATTCAAGCGCCCTACGAGGCTGGCATCCCGCTCTCACCCTTACACTGTAGAAACTTTTAAATGTAGCCGTCTCTTCTACTCCAATAGCTTCATACCTCGCACCTCTCGCCTGTGGAACGCCCTTCCCAATTACTGTTTCCCTGAGAGCTATAATCTCCAACTATTCAAATGTAATGTCAATCGACATCTCCAGTTACCTTGATCTATCTACTATCCATCTCCTCATCCTTTCTTCTATCACTCCTATCTGCTCTCGCTCCAAATCTTCTGCAACCCCCCGTGGCTTCACGCCTTGCTCGTGGCGTAATGCTTAATAAAAAAAAATAACAAGTTTGGAAATAAATTATATCAAAAAGCATCATACATTTTTCCTATCAAAACTGTTCTTGATATATAAACATTTAGATAAACATTTGTATATCGTCATCTTATATATATATATATATATATATATATATATATATATATATATATGTGTGTGTGTGTGTGTGTGTGTGTGTAGTGTTGATTTGGGAGACTTTTTTGAAGTGTTTAACTGATAAAGGCATTACTTTCATCTTTGAAACCACATTTCAAGCTGATGCGATTCGATATCATCAGCAAATTCCTGCGTCAGCAAGAATGCCAAACACTAAATTTTGATTTTAATTATTTAAATTAAATATTCTTTATGCGAACGTATTCGCTGCTTGTCAAGATATTCTTGAACTACTCCTGTGTAATCTAATATAAACGCGACGCTTTGTCGCAGGGAATGTGGTCCAAATTTAGTTCGCCTTCTTTGATAATTTTCCATCGATTTCGAAGACGCCAGTTGCGATAATGTCTTCGATGTATGCGAGGAAACACTCCTTTTGTGAACATCTATTCCTTCAAGGTTCACCGTTGTTTATTCATCAACTCCATCACCTGAGAAATAAGGCTGAGTACAACGATTTTAACGCTGTGTACCCTATAGCGATGTGGCATTTGCTCTTTGTATAATTAATTGATTCTAAGAGAATGTTATCTACTTTACTTACCCGTGTGCTATGCTTGCATATAAACGAAGCCGTATGCATAAATTCATAACACCCAAGAGAATTTGGATCTTCTCGAAGCTCTCATCTTTTAACAGGTAACATCATAGGCCATTTTTAGTTTTATTCAACCAAATCGAATTCTTCCGTCTCTCATCAGAAAGTTACTTTCACTTTCGGTTTCGTTTTCCATGATTCTATTTCCATCTCGTTACTACTTTCCCACTGCCTTTTTATCTCTGGTTTTGTACTTCCTCTATCCCTTAAAGTTTATGTCTTTTACATTGTTTCTTATTGTTTGTCTGCTGCATAGTTTTCTTTATCATTTCAACCTTTTATTTCTTGCATTGTAACAATAAAATAATAATAATAATAATATGTTTGAAACAGGAAGACGATATCTTGCTAAATAAAAGAATACAGTGACAAGTAGTTCCATGTAATGTGGATATAAGCAGACTCTAGGTCATTGGAAACCCAATTCCAGCAGATCAGAAAAAATACCAGGATATCGTCAACAAATTCATCTTTGTCATACTGCCAACACCCAGTTCTTGAAAGTTATGAATGAATCTCTTCGCAGCCCTTTTCTCTATCTGTGGGTGAAATAGTAAGGCAGACTGGGCTCTTTATCATTGATGCGAACCAATCTAGAAGGAGAACAACTCTGTTTCATTTACAGAACGTGCGGAATAATATATGCATCTATTTTTCCGTATTCGATTCTTAAAATCATATGTGCTAGTAGTCTGGCTATTCGATTCTAATTCGGTTGGGCGTTCATACGTCGAAAATGACTGGAGAGTTTATTATGTTTCTCTCTCTCTTTTTCTCTCTCTTTCTCTCTCTCTCTGTGTATAGTGCGTGCGAGAGTATGTGCATGTTTACAATGAATTCATTTAACAAAACCATTTTCAATATAATCTTATAAAAAAATTGCAACGCATTCGTATAATATCATACTTTACAATGCATTCTTAGGTTTCCAATATTTACATCGGATTCACGTAATAAAATTCTTTGTAATGTCTTCCTAGATTAAAATCGTTTACATTGCGAACATATTTTAATGTCGTTTAAATTAACTTGTAGTACAATTATTATTAATTAATGTTAATAAAGAAATTCACAATCAGGGAATTTCTCTTTAGCCTCTTCATTAACTTCACGTGAATAAATGCTCTTTTATGTAAATTTCTAATTAGACATCATTGTAATATTGGCGCTACAGATGGATTTACGCATTGAAATACACACACGACAACATGCCGAAGTTCGCTTGACGTCAAAATATGCCACAGTAAAGCGTTTTAAGTGATGTTAAAAGCTACTTAGTCATTGGTGCTGGACTGTTGGGTCTGAGTACTTAAAATCATGCAGATCTGATAGGATTTTTCAACCTACCTCAAGGGTTACTTACATTACTTACATTGTTCGGACTGTTATATCCATCTTCATTGCCATGTTCACGTTTCCAAATTTCAATCATCTGAGGAAGACCGGAGCGTACAACGGCCGAAACGTTGTGAATATGGGATTAAAGATGAGGATAACAGTCCGAAAAATGCAAATAATGTAAGTAATCATAATACCCCATCTCAGAGATATAGACAGATAGAGAAATAATGATCTGACTTTTTCTTCTCTCTGGAAGAAGCTTGTTGTGAATATGGCAATGAAGATGAGGATAACAGTCCGAAAAATGCAAATAATGTAAGTAATCATAATACCGCATCTCAGAGATATAGACAAATAGAAAAATAAGGATATGGCTTTTTCTTCTTTCTGGAAGAAGCTCGTTGTGAATATGGTTAATAAACATGGGGATAACACTCCGAATAATATTAATAATGTAAGTAATTTTAATACCTCATCTCAGACATATAGACAGCTATCTCTACGGTTTATAGAAATAGTAGGAAAAAAAAAATCTTCCAGAGGTGAGGGGATAATTCTGTGGGCGGAAATCCGTTGTTGAGGAAATTTGTCGAAGGAGAATGAAAAGACTGGTTCAGGCTAATAGGACGACAACTGTAGCTCAATATCTGTCGATATCTCTGAGATGCGTCATTATAATTATTTACGTCGTTCGAACTGTTGCCCTCATCTTTATTGCCATATTCACGAATTTTCGGCCGTTGTACGCTCCAAATTTCTTCGGGTGGAATATCGATCCAAGCCCTTTATTTGATCCAGGAAAAGTAAAGATTGTTCAAATTCCACATGGCATGACATTTTTTGGGGGGTGGATATTTCAATTTCAGTTAATTCCCTTTTGCAACTGAATTCTCCACGGCTTGGAAAATGGGATATGCGCAAGATAGATTGAAGGCAAGAGGAACAGAGGAAAACAATGCATAACCTACCTCGTGAGTTTGAGGCAAATAGATGGAGGAGCAAGGTTTCGGCGAAACAACAAAAAGATTTATTAAGAGCTACAAAGGACAGGAAATTGTGGAGAGGCATTATCTCCAACGTCTTGAAAGGACACAGTACATAGACGAAGAATAATTACGAAGTGAACGAAATTGGTTGACAAGCGATAGTACATGTTGCAGGTTTAGATTTATACTTTTTCAATTATTATTAGTAATTATTAGTACTTATTAGTACTTATTGACCATAAGCACCCTCGTATGGTGCGGGTCCATGATTTTGCCGAATGTTTAACATAGAATAGCGGCAGTTTCTAAGTTGAAATGTTGATCCCTCTTTCTATTGTGATCTCCTGATCCAGTTTCCTTTCTACTTTTTAAAAACTTATTCAACATCCTCCTGATGGTTCTTGAATGGTGTTTGAAGATGGAAGCCAGAGTATGAATGTTGGTACCATTATTGAAGGTCTGAATGACCTTACCATTACTCATTTGTGGGGCTGACACAATACGATTTTAACCTTTTCTCTATCTCGCTGAATAACTCAATCGGTTTTCCAGTGATCCTTACGACAAATGTTGTCAAGATGGCTAAACGTTTTATCCGAAAACGTGGAAAAAAAGAAACTCAATTAGTTTAGTGTTTTCTTTTTTAGATATTAAACATTTTCAGTGATGGACAATTATCCCATGCTATAACACGGTTTGGACAATTTTGCTGGTACACCCGGAACACACACACACACGCACACACACGCACACACACACACACACACACACACACACACACACACACACACATATATATATATATATATATATATATATATATATATATATATATAACGGTTGATAACTTTTATTTTTTTAGCACATCCGTATATGCTAGCTTAACTTTACAACTTCTGTGAACTTTATAAAAAAAGAAAATACAACGATTCATGTCACCCCAGGCCAGGCAATATAATTGCTAAGACAACGCTAGGTGTTACCGGGAGTGAAAGAATCAGGAAAAACTTTATTGGGCATAGAGAACAGTAAAAGAACAGGATTCAAAGGGAAATCAGATGAGAATTGGTATTGCATTTAAATTTTTGATGATAACATTTCACATGATACCAAGAAGCTGGTAAAGAGTTCCGCAAACAAGAAATGCGAAATATTGAACCATTGTCATAGAACTCACAGTCTCATTCGGAATTTTAAACAGTAAAATGATTGGCACGCAGACTAACTCTACACCTTTCCGACAATAGCTCAATTAGATCTCATTTAAATATTCATGGCGACCTACCGGACACTATTCGGAAGATAATTGTCGACAACACTAAGATAATAGCATCATCTACATGCAAAAAAGGCTAAAAATAATGGAAGCCTTATTAATGAAAACAAACAAACCAACACTTAATATTAAGTTAAAACATGGACATAATATCTTGACCGTGTTTTGAAATAAAAAAAAAATGAAAACATTTTAAAAAACGTACATACAACAAACTCTTTCTAATCTTCACAGTTAAAATATAATCCTTGAAAATGGCTAAATGTATAGCAACATTCGGACAGTTTTTATATAATTTATTATCCCAAAAGAAAAAAAATTAAATCGAATGAGAAATTGTATAAAAAAAACTAAATAAAAGCACCTTGTCTGTCGTTTTCAATGAAATGTTCCTCTCTCTCTATATATATATATAGTTATATATATATATATATATATATATATATATATATATATATATATAACATTTTTAAAGTTTTTTTGAGTACAGAATTTTTAATGTCCTGGGTAAAACGATAAATTACATCCAACAGCAAGGCTTCTGACGAGGAGATTGTGAGGAGCTTTGAACCACCTCTTAATTGCTGGTGTTCCCAGGTCCAACATGGATCCGGGGTGGTAGCAGCTGATGGGTTCCAGCTAAGGCAAATAGTTAACACCCAAACTAGGGTCAAAACTAGGTTTTTAAAACCAGCAATACATTTTAGTAAAAAATTATTATCAGCAATGAATTTTTGAAGATAAAAATTATTACCAGCAATACATTTTTACCAGCAATGCATTTTTGAAAAAAAATATTACCAGCAATACATTTCTGAAAAAAAATACCATCGTTACATTTTTGAAAAATATTTACCACCAATAAAAAGAAAAAAATATTGTTGGCATTAAATAACACATTGAGGTTGATACGCCGTAAATCTAATCAAACCAAAAACAAAAATGTCGGCTTCAATTTATATTTCGCATTTGACTTATTCCCGTTTTTGCATCATCCGTCAAGATGTGAAGGGCAGTAGCAGTACCAGCCTAAGACGCTTTTGTAACAATAGGATAATAATTTTTTTGTAGTACAAAATTTAACGATAGCTAGGAATAAGCAAATTTTATATGGCATTTTAAAAAGCTAAAGAACAACCGGTTTCATCCCAACCTTATCAAGTTTATTTCTGGGATATAAAAAAGCATGTAAAATTAAATAATATTAATGATAAAGAATGTAAAAAAAAAAAAAACAAGGAAAAAAAATGAATTTCAAGAAAGCTAGAGTCCAATAACATTCAGACCCAGTAAGCATTTCCTCTGTTTACAAAGGGAAGGCCCACGGGATCTGATATACAAGGATTCTAGAACCTTGAGGTGATATGAGGAGTGGGACCTAGATTAAATCAAGAAACGGTTCGCACTGTAATCAAAAACAAAATTCCTGCTATTTATTACATGCTCTGCAATAGAAGAGCCAGAAGGATTGATTAGTTGACTTTTCCTGGCATCCGGATTCAAAATCCTAGTGGGTAAGTGCTGTTTTATTGTCAGATCCAAATAATATGATAACAGTAACCATGACGGAGATATGGAAATGATTGTTTTAGCTAAATTGTTGCGAACTGTAGAAATTCATTTTTAATCAGTGTCATTACGTGTAAGGTATTAAAGCCACTCAATGGGGTTACAGGATGTGGAAGAATGAGCGGGAAGAGGAAATATTAATCAGGAGGACTGTAGATATAGATTGATAGTGAATTTAAATTTTTTTTCAGATTAAAGTTTGCCTGGAAAGAATGGAACCGGAAGTGTGTTTCACGGGCGGGAAATGCGAGAAAAGAAAATGGCATCATAGAACTTAAGGCTTATGTATCGAGATCAACTGTAAATTGATAGATCTTGACGACAGTCGAGTATTGCGCTTAAATTCAAAAAGTCTAGGTATTATAACGAAGAGCGATATTTATTTCTTCTATGTACAGAAAATGTGGCACAAGGCCAAGATGGGAAAAGGGAAAAAAGTACTGTCTTCATCTGATTTAACATTAAACTTAGCTAGCCACAAACACTGATCCAAACACACCACAGTATTCCTAACACCAAAACAACATGTTCTTACTTAATTTTCTTAATACATCCAACCTAATACCTCATTGTCTCTATTAAAATCCTAATTCGTCCCCATATATACAATTCATTGTCTGTGGGAAGGGGAATAAAACAACAAACGAGTTCACCCGAACAATTACCGTGAAAGTATTTATAGAAAAGACACAGGGAAACAACGTTACTGCATTGGGAAAGAGACTGAAGCCGGGCAACTGGAACAGGGCCAATAATATTGCTGATTCTTCTTTGTATCTTATCAAACAGAGTCACCGGACCATATATGCCAGCAATATTCTAAGGATGGACGAATGGTTGACTTAGAGATATGAAAGATCGATTCTGGAGAGGAAAATTGTCTCACCCGACACAGATAACCGACTTTCTTAGCAGCTGACCTAGCAATGGATTCATTATAGTCTTTCCACTTCATGTCAGCTGAGAACGTGAGCCTGAGAAAGTACAACGAGCTGATGGGAGGCAGCGAGGGGTCTCTCAGATGATTAATGGGGAGAAGTTTAGTTTTGGAAGCGTTAAAATTAATAAGGCATCATTTGCACCAGCTAACAACGGACTTGAGGTCATTTTGGACATCTGCTGCCATTCTGAACTTGTCAAATGGATCAGTCTTACAGGAACACCTTTTTTCTTTTTGAAACATATCCAAAGAAAGACAATACCAATGACGTAAATGACAAATATGAGAGCTTTTATATAAGCAAAATTGAAATCATTCTTTATCTGAGTTTATCATTTTTCCTTTTGTCCATTTATTTATCAACACTTAACTATGACTGTTTTTCATATCGATCTATTGTTTATTTATCGACCTGCTTAGACATATGTAGGTAGATAGGCTTTTAGATTTATCTGACGGTCCATATCAAAGTAAACCATTCGTGCATATATCAGGCGATCTAATCCTTATATTCTTAAAGACAGTTCGTATCTATCTATCTATCTATCTATCTATCTATCTATCTATCTATCTATTCTATTCCAGTCTGTTCTTATCTATCTATATGTACCCCAGTCTGTTCATATCTATCTATCTGTTTCAGTCTGTTCATATCTATCTGTATATGCCCCAGTCTGTTCATATCTATCTATCTATCTATCTATCTATCTATCTATCTATCTATCTATCTATCTATCTGTCTATCCCAGTCTGTTCTATCCCCAGTCTGTTCATATCTATCTATCTATCTATCTATCTATCTATCTATCTATCTATCTATCTATCTATTTCAGTCTGTTCTTATCTATCTATATACCCCAGTCTGTTCATATCTATCTATCTATCTATCTATCTATCTATCTGTTTCAGTCTGTTCATATCTATCTGTTATACAGTCTGTTCATCTATCTATCTATCTATCTATCTATATCTATCTATCCCAGTCTGTTCTTAACTATCTATATATACCCCAGTCTGTTCATATCTATCTATCTATCTATCTATCTATCTATCTATCTATCTATTCTCTGTTTTTATATATCTATATATGCCCCAGTCTGTTCATATCTATCTATCTATCTATCTATCTATCTATCTATCTATCTATCTATCTATCTATCTATCTATCTATCCCAGTCTGTTCTTAACTATCTATATATACCCCAGTCTGTTCATATCTATCTATCTATCTATCTATCTATCTATCTATCTATCTATCTATCTATCTATTCCAGTCTGTTCTTATCTATCTATATGTACCCCCAGTCTGTTCATATTATCTATCTGTTTCAGTCTGTTCATATCTGTCTGTCTATCTATTCTATCTATCTATCTATCTATCTATCTATCTATCTATCTATCCCAGTCTGTTTCTAACTATCTCCCCCAGTCTGTTCATATCTATCTATCTATCTATCTATCTATCTATCTATCTATCTATTCCAGTCTGTTCTTATCTATCTATATGTACCCCAGTCTGTTCATATCTATCTATCTATCTATCTATCTATCTATCTATCTATCTATCTATCTATCTATCTATCTGTTTCAGTCTGTTCATATCTATCTGTATATGCCCCAGTCTGTTCATATCTATCTATCTATCTATCTATCTATCTATCTATCTATCTATCCCAGTCTGTTCTTAACTATCTATATATACCCCAGTCTGTTCATATCTATCTATCTATCTATCTATCTATCTATCTATCTATCTATCTATCTATTCCAGTCTGTTTTTATATATCTATATATGCCCCAGTCTGTTCATATCTATCTATCTATCTATCTATCTATCTATCTATCTATCTATCTATCTATCCCTGTCTTATCTATCTATATATACCCCAGTCTGTTCATATCTATCTATCTATCTATCTATCTATCTATCTATCTATCTATCTATTCCAGTCTGTTCTTATCTATATATGTACCCCAGTCTGTTCATATCTATCTATCTATCTATCTATCTATCTATCTATCTCTATCTATCTGTTTCAGTCTGTTCATATCTATCTGTATGCCCCAGTCTGTTCATATCTATCTATCTATCTATCTATCTATCTATCTATCTATCTATCCCAGTCTGTTCTTAACTATCTATATATACCCAGTCTGTTCATATCTATCTATCTATCTATCTATCTATCTATCTATCTATCTATCTATCTATCTATCTATTCCAGTCTGTTTTATATATCTATATATGCCCCAGTCTGTTTCATATCTATCTATCTATCTATCTATCTATCTATCTATCTATCTATTCCAGTCTGTTTTATATATCTATATATGCCCCAGTCTGTTCATATTCTATCTATCTATCTATCTATCTATCTATCTATCTATCTATCTCTATTCCAGTCTGTTCATATCTATCTATATATGCCCCAGTCTGTTCTGTTCTTATCTATCTCTATTTATCTATCTATCTATCTATCTATTTCAGTCTGTTCATATCTATCTGTATATGCCCCAGTCTGTTCATATCTATCTATCTATCTATCTATCTATCTATCTATCTATCCCAGTCTGTTCTTATATATCTATATATGCCCCAGTCTGTTCATATCTATCTATCTATCTATCTATCTATCTATCTATCTATCTATCTATCTATCTATCCAGTCTGTTCATATCTATATATGCCCCAGTCTGTTCATATCTATCTATCTATCTATCTATCTATCTATCTATCTATCTATCTCAGTATTTTCATATCTATCTATCTATCTATCTTATGGATATTTTAAAAAAAAATGCAGAACAGTTTCAATGATATTTATATGCAAACTTATTTTCCTGTTTGTTGGAATACATGTTTGAATAGAAAATAAAAAATTGTATATGCAAATCATTACTTTTACACTCATTTTTTTTTGTGATGATCAACGTTGATTTTTCTTTCACCCGGAGTTGTCCCTTTTTCTTCTTCTATCTCTTCCTGAGACACAGTAGTTTTGGTGTTCCAGCAATTGTTGTGGCTTTTTTAAAAATATATTTTCTAAGCTTTCTGCTTCGTTTGTTCATTTATTTGTTGAGAAATACAACATATTTATGCCTGAAATATTTTCTTGCATAATACAAAAAACTGTCTTGGTGTCATTATTTGTTCATTATAGGGTCACCGGAGACTTACTTTTGCAGTCAATCTCTTAATAGCGACACCTAACCAATCAGCTAAACTTTCCCATGACATGTAGCAAAAAAGCGCCATTCTGGATCAATACCAAAGACAGCCTTTTGTAAAAAAAACTGATAAAATTCTTATATTTTTTATGCCATGAAGTAGCACCATCAGGGATATAGATAATTTTTTTTTTTATTTTAAAATTTTTTTCAGTACTTCTATAAGTTTTCTTTGGAACAAATGGACAACTAATGTGTTATTTTTGAGATAATCTGATATAATTACAATATTAATATGATACGACTCTTTCGCATATCTGTAATAACAGAAAATTTGGATTTATTGTCATATGAGAATTATTCCGGTGGGAGCCTTGTGCAGCATCCTGCAAAATAAATGAACAAATTGCAGTAAAATCTGCAATAAATGACCTTAACAGCCATAAAAAAAAACTTTTCTTATTAGGACAAAATTTTGATTGTTCTTTTGTAATTATATCACGTTTTTTCCAAGGTTCGAAGGCCTATGCAAAAAGTCTCAATAAATTCTTCTGCACATTATGATAGAGTATGCAATGTGGTTCTATCAGTTGATAGCCACTATTTGTAGATAAAATCATATATTAGATGTTTATTTATAATTTTTCTATATATAAAACAACCTCCTTCTTCAAATTGCTACAAGATGATCAGTTACAAATTGCTTTATTGAATATAACAGGAGTTATGCATTGGTGGTAATCTATTAAATGATATTATTCCTCATGAGTCAGTGTAACAAGATGAGTTCCCCCCCCGCCACAATCATCAGATTCATATTTTGATGTATTGTGCAAACACACAGACACAATGTGCTCCAGCATCACCTCTTAGGATAAATTCTTCCGGGCTGAACTCAGCAAAGTTTGAAAAAATAAGCTATGAAATGTTACAATTTAGTAAGTGGCCATAGGTGGTAAGATATAGCAGCGCGGGTACCATTAAAATATTACCAGAAATGTTTGCCAGATTTGGGATTCCTGATAAATAGTAACAGATAATGGTACAATGCATAAGGCAGCTGATTTCAAAGAATTTTGAGTTTTTTATTTAAATAATTAGTATTTTTTTCAGGGTCCAAAGTACAAGCTACTTTTGTTCGTGAACTCTTATACCATTTTTAAGACTTTTTTCCTGGGATTACTCTGCTGCGTTTTTTTTTTTTTTTAGTTTTTCTTGCCATATATGTTTTGGTAGCAAGTTCCATTTGAACTCTTTTGACACTCCATCGTTTTGGAAATTGTTATAGGACCTTACCCATAATAACATAATGGCCTATTCCATTCGTAATAAATACTGCGCCTCAAGAGGAAGCAGGTAGTTCAGTCCGAAGTCGGGCGACCGGCTGACCGGCTGATCGGTTGAACTCTCTGCGTTCGGGCGGGGAGGAACCCGAACGAGGCTACGCCGAAGGGCGGAGTCTCTTTCGGGGAGGTAAACCGACCCTGAACCCGTTTATACGGATTCAAAGGGCATATTTTTGGCCGAGCTCACGGGCTCGGAGATCCCACGTTAAACCGGTCTTGTGCCACATGATGCCTTCGTGTGGGGGGGTGACTAAATACCGTTCAGTCTGAAGTCTTGACTGAGGTCCGTCAGAAGTCCGTCAAGCGTCTGTCAGTCAGTCAGAGTGAGCGAGTCAGTCAGTCGAGTCAGAGGCAGTCCGAAACAGAGTCGCGTTCAGACAATTACTGCAAGACATTGGAATAGTGATACTGATCGAGATTACATTGTTCTCTTTACTAAACCTGATTGTTCGTACTAACACTTTCTACTTCTGTGTATATATTCCTGTTTGTAATATATCTGTGTTATTCCATATCCGTGTTCGAGTTCTTCTTTATTGGTTCTACCTTGAACTATCACCGTGGTACAAGGAACCGGACCATAACAGAAATATTGTCAAAATTTGTATTTTTGATACCTTTTTTCACATTTTCCTCGGATCGTTTGTGCCCTTTTACACTGATCCTTTCTTGATGAAAAGATTAAGTCGAAATGAATGTAATTTTATTCAATACTGCTCTTTTCGTTTTTCCTACCTTTTTTCTCACACAACTGGTTTGTTTTCGAAGTTTTTGACCAAACATTGTCAGTGACTCATTAAGAAGTTGTAATTCATTTTCAGTTTCAACAGAAATTCTAGAAGACTATGGTTGTTCTTCAGCTAATATTGAATTATTTTCAGAAAAGTCAGGTAATGTTAACTTTATTCGACAACGGGTGCAAATTTATAATCAGCACATATTTTGACTTAACAAAAAGTTAAAATAAAATAATCACGATTTAGATCAGGGGACGGTGACTTCTTTGTCTTCGCGGGCCGGATCGAGTGTTAATGACGGATAATGTTGGAATTCTTTGGTACTAGTAATCCAGCCAAAATGAGCTGACTCATTTTATAGTTCACCAATAGAAGGGTTAACCAATCAGCAGGCTCAAAATATTCAATGCGACGTGTATAAAGGCGGCCATGTTTTTTTTTTTCCGAATATGCATTGCCAGCCTTTGATATCGAAGACTGAAGAATTACGGAACCCCTGCTGGTGAGTGTTAATCGTTAACGTTGTTTCATTGAACAGATTACGTACTGCGTTGTATTCTATATTCATAGACCATGAGGAACATGGTCAACAAAGGTTATGAGCCCAGCACGCTTCTACTGCGCTGTATTCTATATTCATAGACTATGGTGAACATGGTTAACAGATAGTGGACCGGGCGAAGACCATAAAAATTAATATGGAAAATTACATATGCTAAAATCTAATCAAAAGTGTTGACTATACGTGCATATAATTTGCATTAACCAGAGATGAAAGTAGTAAACGAAAAACAATTTAGTTAATTCAAGACATTGTTTAAAAATACTTAAAAATACATAGCAGCCTAAACATTAAAGGGAAACTTGATGATTTTGTTCCTTGAAAGTTTCCCAATATTAGACTTCAAAATGGTTGAATCCAAGAATAAGATATTATCAAGAGGATCATTAGTTAATCTTGTTCTATAATTTTTCTTAGTTTGCTTCAATTTGGAAAAATAATTGGTCACAATGATAAGTGTTTCCAAACAAAGATGCAATCTTTTTTCCATGATACACTAAGTTGGAAAACTATATTTTGCATAGAATATCATTCAACAAACCAGCTTTAGGATGAAACTCATATCTCAATACGTTGTCAAACTGCATATCAATCAATTGAATTTGAAAACTTCTAATACTATCTCCACCTCAACATCAAACGGTAGCGCGGACAATGAAACGGATTTGCATGCAAGCGAAAGTCAGCAAAACGTGATGCAAATTCTTTTCTCAAATTCTGGATTATATTCACAAATATCTCTGAATCCTATTGGTACCTACCTTGAAATGATGGAAGATGCGCATATTATTTTTTATTTCGCAGTTGACATTCTGTCATGAGTCCTTACCTATGACTACAGAATGAACTCTTCCTAACAGAGAGGGACGAATCGAGCCGAGCTTCTCGGCTTGACGGTCGAACTCTCTGCCTCTGAGCAGAGAGGAACCCGGACGAGGCTCCGCCGAAGGGCAGAGTCTCGTTCGGGGAGTTTGACCAACCCGATTCTATTCATACGGGTTCTACGGGCATTTTTTGGCCGAGCCTACGGACTCGGGAAACCCTCGTTAAACTCGGCCTTGAGCCACATGCAACCCTCGTGGGGGTGGCTAGATACCTAATCGAGTCGAGCTTCTCGGCTTGACGGTCGAACTCCCATCCTCTGAGCAGAGAGGAACCCGGACGAGGCTCCGCCGAATGGGCAGAGTCTCGTTCGGGGAGGTTGACCAACCCGATCCCGTTTATACTGGTTCTACGGGCCGAGCCTACGGGCTCGGGAAACCCACGTTAAACTCGACCTTGTGCCACATGCAACCCTCGCGTGGGGATGGCTAGATACTGAATCGAGTCGAGCCGATAGTAGTTCACTCCAAACCAGACTGACAGTCATACTAACAGCTTCCACATCTTGTATTATTATTTCGTGTAATATACCTTCGTTATTTCTACTCTTGTGTTCGTGTTGTTATTCCTTGGTCCTAACTTGGACCATAACACATTCCGAAAACTGTACCTTTTTTTGCAAAGGCAACAATATAGTTATGCAGTTCATTTACGAGCTCTTTACTTTGAAGTTGTAAATTTAAGTTATTTAAATTAGTCACAATATTCACAATAATTGGCAAAGTTGCAAGCCAAATCAGTTTCTAAAAAATGTGAACTATCTATACGTTTGCATTCGAGAAATATCAACACTTCTTTGTTTAAAACAAGAAGTCTTTTTAGCATTTATCCTCGGCAAAGCCAGCGTACATTGCAGAAATAAGCAAGGTCAACATATTCTGCCTCAGGTTCTAACAAAAACTGTTTAAATTGACGATGATTTAATCCCTGAGATAGAATGAGATTCACAGCCTTCACAACAATATCCATAACGTTCATAAATTTCAAAGACTTGGCGCCCAATATTTCATGATGGATAATGCAGTGAATTATAAGAAGTTTAAGTGTGATTCCAAGATTTTCCATATCTTCTTCCATAGTGAACAAAGCTTTATTTATCCTACTATTGCTGGGGTACCATCAG